TTTCAAAAATTATGAAATTGAAAGACTCTTCGAAAAATGTATATTTTATTATTTTTTAAATAATTTATTAGTTTAAATATTAATGATAATATATGGCGTTATCTTATTTCATTTATCACTTTGATTAATTAAGATTTTTGTAGTTGATTTTTTTACTATTCTTTAATTTTATTGTGACCATTGGATTAATAATATCATTTTAAACGTCGATGATTTGATTTTATATGTAATTATTAATCTAAAAATAAAAAATAAAAAACAAACATTTTTTAGTTTCCAAATGTCAGGGGAGATGATGTGGCTATTAATTAGCCACGTGTACGTGGGGTAGAGCAAGGGAATTTTCTTTCTCACTCCCTTTTTCAACCCTGTTTGGACAAGCAGCTATCCTAAAAACTTTTAAAATGTAAATTAAATTTTAAAAAATGTAATATTCGATTAAATTCAAATTATATTATAATTAGAATATTAGACTTGAAAAAAACTAATTTATCTAGGAATTATGAAAATCTCTCTAAAAATTTAATATTTAAAATTAATCGGATAGAATATACAAATTAAATCTTTTTATTACAAGAATAATGAAATAGTCTCGGGTATTAATTAGTCTTCAAAGACTATAGAAGGGATGTACATACATCTTAGCATCTCAAGATGCTTGACGTCTCGTATTTTTAAGATGCTTAATACAAAAAATATTTAAAAATTTATGGTGTCTTCGTGACCCACACGTTTCTAAAACGACGATAGTCGTCTAACTTTATTTATTAGGTATATTTTAGTTACTTTTTTTTTCTTTTTTGTATTTTGTAATTAAAAGAAATTAGCATAAGAATCCTTTACTAAAAGAAAATTTACCTAACTGTCATTACATTTATGTATTTTATTTACATTAAAAAAAAAGTTAAATTATATGATATATATCTTAATTATTTTTCAACACTAATCTAAAGTGAAAAATTCCAATATATAAAATACCATAAGATGATTTCTCTGTATATATATATATATGTGTATATATAATCCTAAAATAAAAAATATTTTTAAAAAAGTATAAAGTATTTAAAGTTAAAATGAAAAATAAATTTTAATATTAAATATTTTATTAAAATTCTCAAATTTGGTTTTACAAAATAACATATAGAATTAAATAAGCTAAATTGATAAATAAAAAAATAATAATAAATAAAGACAAAAATGTTATAAAAATTAAAATTAGTTCTGCTAAATTAAAATATAAATTATTTCAAATTAGATAAAGGCATTATTGAAATAATACATAATTTTAATATAGTCTCATATAAAAATCCTACCAAACAGCACTATTATCTAAATATCAATATATTTTCTTTTTCTTTTCGAAACAAACTTGGCTTGACGATATGGAATCAACCCAAGAGAAATGATGGAATGGATTACATTGATGATCAATATCGATTCGAATCACTTCACAACAAATTTGATCAATACCACTTGAATTACTATAAGTTATAAACACAAGAATTTGCAAATAAAATTTAGCTCTCAACGAAGCTACAAAATAGAAAGTCTATTCTTTTTAATTTTAAAATGTCTTTACAACTTAATTGCATAACTCCCAAATTAAATTGACTAGAAATACTCATAACCTCCATATTAAAATGGTTAATCAACGGTGGAATATGGTAATCTATATGAGTTACAATATAACATTTAAGTCTTATATTAAAAACTAGGTTAATATGACATGACTAGTTAACGGTGGAATATGGTAATCTATGTGAGTTACAGTATAACCTTAAGTCTTATATTAAAAACTAGGTTAAATATGAGAAAAATATTTTAATTATAATTAAATAGTGCAATGAATGAAATGAGTTTGTTAGTCATATTTTGGAATTTAGGAGTTCATTAATTGAAGCTCAACTTTGCACAGCATATAAGGAGGTCTCCAACTATTTATAGAATTTCATTTTATGAGCTCACCATACTTGAATATAAGTGTAAAAAGTTTGTTGTAGCTTACTGGCTCTCGTCCTTGTAATTGGACCTTGAGGTATGTAAATTCTTTGGTCGTGGTCCATATCATTTGATTTAAAAAAATAACAATAATCCACGCAGAAAATTCCATAATAATTAAATTTAAAAAGACAAGAAGAGTAGAAAATTCAGAGCTCAATTTTCTAAGAATAAAAATGATCCATGGGTTTGATATTCTAATTAAAAAAGAGTTCAAATTTTATTTTAAAATTCTAATAATTGTGATGGAAATGTATAGAAGTATACATAAATTACAAACAGAATTTGGAAATATTAAGGATGTATAAATGCTGTCTATTTTCACTTTTAATTGGATCAACTTATTTGACTCCACTACCAATCAAACTTTTCAACGCCATGGCCCACTTAATGAATATATTCCATTAAAAAATTGACCAAAAAATCATTTTGTATTATTCGAACAATATGGGTCCGTTCAGATCTTTTATTGGGCCTAATTTTAAGATAAATAAATTATAAAATTGAATAAAAATATGTGGCGTCGCCCGGATTCGAACCGGAGACCTTCAGTGTGTTAGACTGACGTGATAACCAACTACACCACGACACCATTTTGTTCTTTTCTAATTTACTTTTAACTAATTATTGTAACTATGTATTCTAAGTACCTATTCGATCCATTAGTAAATTAAATTTTTTACCACAAACGGATTCGTTGAAGTGATTGAATTAGGTAAAACCGACCTTTTTTTTTTATTAAGTAAAAATTCAAAGTTTCAAACTTTTAGTCAAAATGATCGTTTTTTTTTTCAATATATCAATTTTGTGCTAATTTTTTTTTGTTGGTAAAAAATAAATCGAATTTATGAATATTATAATATTAAAAAAAAAGAAGAATCTAATTCTTTAAGATTTCTCTTTATTAATATTTAGATAATTGAATTAAACAGACTGTACAGCAACCTTCTAAATTTAATTTTACTAAACAGAAATAATGTAATTAGTTTTTAAATACTTCAAAAGTTTAAATTAATTAATCAATTACCTTTCCAAAAATACTATTATTATTATTGGTTTAAATTATTTACTAAAGAAACTGATAAGAATAAAGACAAAATTAAAAATTACCCAACTTGGGCCAATTATTTAAAAGTTTTGTACATCAGCTTGGGCTTGGCCCAGTTGTAATATTGGGTTCTTGAAAGCAAGCCCATTAAGATTTATGTGGGCCGAGCCTTTTCAGTCCTCCTCTCTTTATAAACAAGCAAGATCTGAGCGAAGAAGTCCCCGTTTTCATTTGTGAAAGAGAATCCAGACGACGAACGCAGACAGTCGAAGGAAGATGAGGAAGTTCGATCCATGGCCGGTGTTTTTCAGGCGAGAGTGGAAGAGGAACTGGCCGTTCCTTGTTGGTTTCGCCATAACTGGGGCCCTTATTACCAAGATGACCGCCGGACTTTCTGGTATGATGATCGATTTTTTTTTTTTTTTTTTTTTTTTTGGATTGAATTCGATTCCTTTACTTCTAATTGTGTTGATCCTTTTGACGTTTGATTTTCAGAGGAAGAGGTGAAGCAGTCTCCTTTCTACAAGAGGCACAATCGGTATTTTCTCGGAACCCTAATTTACTATCCCACGCCCCGCACTTTTGATTTGCATATGAATGAAATCTAGTGTTCGATACAATTTCGATTTTTCTTTTGATTTGTGGTTTTCGTCTGAAAAGTTATAAATCATTAATGAGAATTGTACATTTTATCACTTGTTTTCTTTCTTTTTGAATCGGGGTTGTTTATATTTATTGAGTGTGGTTGTGGTAAAGACTGGCCTAGATTGTTTATGTGCGTGTATTGCTTGCTGATTTTTCTTCGATGACCATCCAGATATGTCATCGTAGTTTCATTCTTTGGGAGTATACTCTTTAATTTTCCCATTTGATTGGAAGGCAATTTTAGAGGAAGGCTAAAAATCCATCATACATAATCCAAAATCATCTGTAGGAAGGAATGAATAGAGGGTAACTGAATTTTGACAGTAATCTTAAAGCTATTAGACTTATTACGCTTGTTTCCTTTTCTTCACATATGTTCCAAAGTTTGTGGAATATATGCATTTTGCGTAGATGTTATTATACAAATCACTCTCTTGGCTATGTTCATATTCCAGAAATTCGTAGTTGGGTATTGTTGATTTCACGGATGAGATATGTATTTGGTTTTCCATTTTTTTTCTTCTCTATCCTTTCACCTTTATGGCGATTGTTGGTCTCTAGAACTTAGGAATTTGCTTGACAAGTTAATTCGCTGGCTGCTGCAGGTGATATCTTAAAGGGGAATTGGTGCTACTTCAAAATGAGATGTTTTATTTGTTCAAAATAACAGATGCTGCGGTTAGTTTACAAGCCATTTGAAGCAAGCTTTATCGGTACTTCTCAGTATGTATCAAACTTGAAAGATTTTGTGATGTTTACTTTTTATTTGTAGTTGAATTCCTTCTCGTAGCATCATTGGATTGAAAAATTTGAACATCTGGTTGACCTGCTGCTTTAATTCAAAATGGTTGAACTTGTTCACACCACACCTTTTCTGATTAGTATTTCGTCTTCGTGACTCTAACTCTGATCATGACTAAGCTTCGAACAACTTTCATAGTTTAGTTGTTAAGGAATTCATCAGATGTTAATATTTTTTGAGTTCATTTCAAAGTTATGACATAAAAATTTGGTTAAATTACACTGAATGAAAACAACAATTTAATTCTTTAACTTCAGTTTTTGTAATTTATTCTGTCTACTTTTAGTTTTGAAATATTTTACTTCATCTTGACTCTACTCTTTAATACGTAACAATTTAATTTCTAAACTTTAAACCTTGTATTAATTAAATCTATATATGAAAAATGTTGTTAAATTTAATTAGATTTTGTTTACTAGATCACTCTTTAATGAGTGTACAGTCTAAAATAGAATTTCAGCTTAATGATAGATTTCAAATTTTATGACAAATGGTTGACCCACAGGATAAGAACAATCGATCGAGATATATATGTAGAATAATGTAGCATTAAAACCATACAAACTAAGCAGACCAAAGCATTGAACCTTCCATTACAGTAAACAAACTGCGAAACTGGCTTTATAATATTGCAGGTCAAAGAAAAGAAGTTACTACATATAGAGAAAAATAATGAAGCTAAAACAACCTTAAAACATGTCTTGGTGGAAGTGTCCTCCTGAAACAGTTTGTGCCCTCTGCAGATGGAGATTTAATGTGTAATTTCTTACCTGCACAACAGCAATTCCTAGCTACATGAGAATTTTGAAGCCTTTACCACGAACCCAAAATGATAACATTGACTAACTATTCTTCTTCTGATTATAAGCTGCTGTACATTCAACCCTCTAATTGGATTGATAATTCTATGCAAGCCCCTCTTCAGACTAGAATGTGACCTTGAGTCGGATCGTGTCGTCTTAATTCAAGATGTCTATATGTTCTTTAAATGTATAAACGTATAGTAGAATCACTGCTTCCATAACATAAGAAAAATTGTGATTTTTGGGATAGCCAAGTTTGCAGTAAAGTGAGGGCTTATATTAGTGAAGATGATGATGGCAGGATGTAATAAGAGCTATGAATATACCTCTAAACTTTGAATTTGTTCTTGATACTGGCATAATACATGCTTTAACTGATGAACTTCTTTTTTCTTCTCTTCTTGCTCGAGATTGCGCTCATGCTGAATCGCTACTGCTCTCTTTAAAATTTGGTTGTCATTTACCAAACTTTGGAAATGCTCCTTCAAAGATTCATGCTTTAACTGCAACAACATAATGTGGGAAGAACATTAACTTTACCTTTCACACAACATCCAAAAAGAGAATGAAAATTCAACTGGAAACCTTCTATAATACTACCTCCTCTGATTCTCTTGAATGAGCAGTTATGTCATGTTCAAAAGCTTCTAAAATCCTTGCAGCTCGAACTCTAGCATCATCGACATCCACCGTGCTCGCCATCTCCTGCACAAACATGTCCACCCATTTGCACCCATGCATTCCATTCCCTTCAGCAATGGCCGAACCGACATCTCTAGCTTCTTCGCCCTTCTCGTGTGACATTTGACTGCCTGATTTCACAAGTCCCCCAGAAAATCTTTCTTTTAGAATAAGATATCCAAGCCAATTATGTATTTGACTGCCTAAAATTAACTTACATGTAGCTGTTCTCTCATCAGGAAGCGTTGAACAATTCAGAATTGGTGCAGAATCGACACCAGCATTATAATCATCGAAGGAAGGTACCTATAGAACATAAATAGCATCTTTGATCATGTTATTATGATTCAGACAAAGGATAATCAAATCCTTCAAGACCTTAGCTTACAATTCCTATTGATATCAAACCATCATCTTAAAGTATCCAAAATAAACTAGAAAAAGGGAATTCATCTAAACCAGAAAAGGAAACGAACCTCGGCACCACCGACTCCAGGAAACATTTGAAGCAAAACCGAAGCAGAATCCTCAGGTCCAGAACCGAACTCCGATCGGGTCGAGGATCCGAAACTGGACCAACGAGACCTCTTAGCCGAAGAACAGGCCGTCGGAGAAGAAGATCCAAAGATCTCCTCAAACCCCACCCGCTTTCCACAGACTCCCGCCGACATGGCCTCCTCCTCTCTCTCTCTCTCTCTCTCTCCCTCCCAAAACCCTCCAAAATTTCCCTGAAAGCCGCTCTGTGGACCCAAAACAGAGATCGCCGGCGAAATCCTGAGGAATGAATCTGTCGGAAAAAGAAGCAACAGCGAAGAAAATTGTGGAGGGAAAGTGGGGGAATGATAGGGTTTGATAAAGGAGCAGATCGAAAGAAGCGAAGGGTGAGGCAAGGTTTTGGCGTTTATAATGGGGTTTGGAATCTCTTCATATTTCAACCATTCAAGTTCACAGTCCCCCTGGATCCAAGATCAAGATAAAAAGTATCTCTGCAGGAGACAGACAGTGGAGCGCCCAACATATCACAAAAATAATCAAAAAATTGTAAAGTTGGGGGTAACATTTAAAGGTTTTTTTTTTTTTTTTTTTTTTTTTTGTCTACCACTCAGATATTTGAATCCTCTCAACTCGATCAAAGGTATCGAGACTTGATCTTACTTTTAAAACTATTCGTTGCAAGTTCGAACCTGTCTTGCTAACAAAAAGGACATGAGACCATCTCGATACGTAGTTTAACTAAAAAACAAGTCCGATTTGATTTAAGAATAATGTTTTTTTATTGAATCAATGTTTATTATATGAACTTACATATGGTAGCCTAATAGTAGCATCTCTTGCCTTTGCTCAGACCATAAACGTTGTCTGATTGCTGCGAAGCAAATTCAGTATATCAATATAAATATATCATTTACAGTGATGAGCATTCACTTTTGTTGAGAGTTCTTGCAGGTTGATATGAACCGATGGATTCTCCAGTTTCAGCAGCTGATGAACTTCCTTCTCCATCGCCATTGTTTCTCTCATCAAACACTCCATACAAAACCCAATTGAACTCAAACAAAGTGTCATTTGCCCTCTCTGATTTGCCTCACCTTCTTCATTTGTGTAAGCTTTGGCCAGTATTTCATTTGCATGTTGGCAGAAAGAGCCCACAATTTTCTCAACATCTTCTTCAACTAGAGCAAGAGCTCTGCATCCATCATTTGGAATCATCTTCCCCATCTCCATTTCAGAACACTGATTCTTGTTTGTGTTCTGTAATTCCTTCATCATGCTCAGTTTCTCCATGAAATTCAGTGAACATCCAACTTGTTTGCAGAAAGCATCCATGTCTTCACTTAAACTATCATGAACCTCCTTCCCAACAACCCCAGATCTATTAAGTTCTAAACAGAGGAGATTCATTTCATGCGGTAGAAACTGTAAGATATTCACTATTTTCTGCAGGGATTTCAGAAGATTATCATAGCAGCCACTTTGGAAAGGTGTGAACCAGAAATTAGGCTCAAACCTAGCTTCAGCAATGAACTTTTCTAATTGACTAACATGGGATTTCAGAGTTTTGTGATGTTCTATCAGTGAAATGAAATTGAAATTCTTTTGGGGAATAAGGATTACCCTTTTGATGCACTCTTGAAGAGCCTCCAAACTCCTTGAGAACTCTGTTTTAGCTAAAGTTGCTGCTCTTGTTGGGTTGAAGATAAGCTCCATTGTTAAGAAACAGATCAATCCAATGCAAGCTTCTGTGATTCTAGCATTAGCAAACTCAGATGGAATGCCATAATTCTTCCTCCCAAGAACTAGCAATGCGCCTAATGCTGAGGAAGTCGCACCGGCTGGACCATACATTCTACTATGAACTAGAAAGCTGGTAAAAACAACCCAAGGAAGAAGAGGTAATAGCCATAAATACTCAAGTTTTCTCAAAATAAAACAGCACAGAACGCCATAGATTGACCCCATTGCCGTCCCTTGAGCTCGAGCGTTTGCAACAGTAAATACGGCTTGTCTCTCTGTTGCAAGGCTGATGGCAACCGTCAATCCTGACCAATACCCATTCGACTTTGTATAAGTCAGACCCAGAAACACAGCAAGCCCCAAAGTAATCGAGCATTTCAGCGCAAAACACAAACTCTGCTTTGTAGGCAAGATGTTCGACAAAATGCCCCAACGACTATTTTTGGTACCGCCGTCTCTCAACTCGGTTACTTCTATCCCGTTGGCTTTCCGATCGATTTCCACATCGGAGACAAGATTCCGGGTGGCGGCGGCGGCGGCAGTTGAGCCATAGTGAAGAAGTTCCATACAACGCAAGAAGAACGAAGGCGGAAGAATCTGAGGGGTAATGAGAGAAACGTTGAGAGGCGGAGGGTTTGAGAATGGCGGCTTCGTCTCCGGCGCGGTTGTGGCGTTAGGAGGAAAGGAAATCTTGAAACTCTGTAGCTTTGAAGTGGCTTTGGGTTTGAGATTGTTGAGCGAATTGCAGAGTTCTTCGTCCATTGCTCCGATCGCAATGGAAGGGGAAGTTAAGGCCGCTTCCATTCCTCTCAGAGCAACCTCAAATCCTTCCAACTTTTCTGCAATCTCCTTCTGTTGCCGCTCCCAAATCATCCCTCCCTGCGTTCATGAGATTTGTTTAAGTTAATAATTTTACAATTTTCTTTAGAAATTTTAAATTAAAATATAGCAATCAAACATCATACCAGATGTGGTTGGATGGATCGAAGCAGCTTAGTTCCGGTGGTGGATAGGGACTTGGCTTCGGCCATTGACGCAACCGCCTCTGCTTTGGTCTTGGCGCCGAACCCTTCCACCATGGCCCCCATCCTCTCGCACCCATTATCACAATAAGCTCTACTAAGTTTCCTTATCTACACCCCAAACAACAAATAATTATTTTATTATACTTTTACTAAATACATCAAAAAGAAAAATATATATACACATTAACCTAAAATAAGTAATTAACTAGTAGCGTTCATATCACCCAATTTTTTTTTTTTTTTTTTTACGGTTTGGGTAAGGTTGAAATTTTTTAAAATCGAACCATTTTAGTTGAAAAATCGAAAATAGGGTTAAAATCCAATCTAACTTTATTTCTAAGATTATTATAAATATTAAGAATATTTAACGTTTGCAACCGATATTAGTAATGTATTTTGAGTGGTGAACATTTAATATTTAAAATTAGATGAGATTTTAGTTATTAATGTAAAATATTAATTAATGAATTTTTTATATAACTTTTTTTTTTTGTTTGACGTAAATCATTAATGGTATGTTTCCATTAGAATTTTTTAAACTAAGTTAAATTAAATTATAAGAGTGTTCCTCAACTAAAAATGCTTATAAAAATATTTTTTTAGAAAAAAATATATAATTTTGTAATATACAAATTTAAAATTTAAAATTAAATATATAAATATTCAGCATTTATAAAACCAACACTATTTTTCAAAAGTCTTTGTCATAAAACCATTCATTTACAGCCATTAATTTTGAAAAATATTTAATAAAACAAATCGTATTATTCACCATATACTTAGATTGAATGAATAATGTTTACTCCAAATAATTAATAATAATAATATGTTACAAATTTTTGTTCTTATAAGCAAAAATTTTCGTAATATGAAAATTTTAAATTTTTTATTTTAAAGTTCGTTTTACCTGAAAGGAAGCGAGCCGAGGGTACGGCAACACCATAGCAACGACGGCGGCGAGAGCTCCGGCAGCCGTACTGGACGCAACGCGAATTGGGTGCATAATGAAACTCGTCTGGCCGCCGTGAATCACCGTCCCAACGTACACAATCACCAGCTGTCCAAACGCGATTCGCTTAGTCAGCACGTGGGTTCTCATCGGAAGCGCCACCACAAACGCACTAATTGCCACAGCCACCGCCGCAGACAACCCACCGGTGAACCGCTCCGGTCCGACCAGATACAAGCAAGGAACAGACAAGACCAACACTGACACCACTGCCCACATCACGTGCCACACACCCCTAACGGCGTCGCCAATAGAAACGGCGTCCGTAAGTACAATTGAAATAGTTGTGAAGTAAGAGAAAGCCGGAAATGACAGTAACTGACTCACTGACGCCGGTCCGAACATCATGACCCCGCCAATTAAGCTACAAGCGAAAGCCGCTCGCAGAGCCGAGCCGAGCCGAATCCGCCACAGCACCGCCGTGGTCGTCACTGCCGCCGCCATTATTAGCGGTGTTTGTAGTAGGAGAAAAAGGTAGGCTGAGCGAGAGAGAAAAAAAACTAAGGCAAAGAAGAGAAGAAATGTGTATGATGGCAATATAATTTTTACTTGCAATTAATATATAAGCCAATGTTTGGTAGGAGAATGGGACAGTGGAGTACACATATATAATATAATGGCATTCGAATATATTTACCATTTGGAAAAAAAAAATGTCAAATATTTCAAATTGGTATCCGGCCCTACTTACAGTTCCAAACTCGAGACGAACCCTTCGAGGGATTGTATGAAAAGAGAGCCTAATCATACTTTATCTCAATATCACGTTACGTACTAGGTACTAACGAATCATCATACTCGTGTAAGATTCCTTAATCACCGTGTACAGTGTCACAATTGCACTTGTGAACTTTTGTGATTGTGACACTGTACAGGCTGGCACTTTACGCTGTACACTGTTACGTACTAAACATTCACTCCCAATATTGAGATAGTCAAGTGAATTTGGGATCGCGTCGCCTATGACTTTGTTTTGAAGAAAACGAGGGCAGGGAGATTATCGAAAGGGTGTTTGAAATGAAAGCAACCTCATATGACTACAAACAAAAGTCAAGACAACAGCTTAAATAACATATAATTTTTTGGATAAGGAGAATTTGACAACTAATCACAAACATTTTGAGGTGGTTTAGGTTTGATAGCTTAAACGTGATTTCGCCGAACGGTCACACAAAATCTAGATAAGAGGAGTTGATAACGGATCACATCCCTTTTAGTACATTGTGAGACATTACAAGCCTACCAGACAAATATAATTATGTCGAAACATCACATACTTACTATTCATCATGAAAGTAGTCAAGGAAAACAATAAAGTGATGCAGTCACGGGTAACACGCTTTAAACAAGCATGACCGTGACACACAACTGTGTCGACAATTACCCATTTCCTGTGGCGACAACATGATTGTAACGAGGTTAATCTCGATCAAAAATCATGTTTTAAGCTTTTATAATCTCATCTTTTAATTTAATTATTAAAAATAAATAATTATTAAAAGGCATAGAAAAAATTGTAATTTTAATTCTAACACTAAGTTTTGCATTTGATTACATTTTGGTTCGCATGTAAGATTGTTATTAATTAAAAAGTCGATGTGATATTTTGTTATTATTATTAATTTATTTTCTATTTTCTCTCCTCTTTTTATCCTTTTATATTCGTTCATACATGATTGTC